TAGTCATACAGTCATATACCTGGTATATGAATTCATCAATGATATCCCAGAGCCACTGGTTGGGCAGTTCCAGAGGAGCTGGGCCGTCAGCATCTGTAGAAGATACATAAATAATAGATGAGAGGCCTAACACCCTGAGCAAGAATAACAGTGGCAGGCATCAGATGGATGAAGCCTCTGGCAGGGAGGTGATATGTAGCTCTGGCTACCTCAGCTGCCTTCATTTTTAAAGCATATGAGCGTAGGGGGAAAATCTCTGGAGTGGGACTACTCGGCAGCAGTGACTCTCAGAAGCTGCACACAGATTCTAAAGGGTTATCTTCACTCATTCATTCTCTGTGAGAAGAGCGGCAGGAAGCCAACAACATTTAAATTTGTCTCAAGGGGAGTCAGCAACGGTAAATAGCTGTGAAATACTGCAGCAGGTTTTTCCTGACTTACAGCCTCATTTTGTTTTTTAAAGATAAGTAAATCGTTTCCTTTTGCCAACCTTCATCAAGACAGGATGTTAAATAAGTTTATTTTTTAAAAGTATGCCAGAAAGTACTGGAAGTATCTGGATTTTTTTGTGATTTTAGAAGCACAGACGTTAAGTGGCCTTTCTTCAACAATCTCAAACATACAGAAAGCTCACAGACTTCTTCTGCCTGTACAATCTATAAATGAACATGTTCCAGTTGTTCTTTTTCAACCCCCTCTCCATCCTATACACTCTTCCTCTCCAAAATTCACAAACTAGAAATGAATTGCAGCGACTCACTGAGGATGTAGTTGAAGAGATTGCAATAGTTGTAATAGGACTCAAATCTCTGCTCCAGAGTGGGCCCCCCCTGCAATGAGAAGTCAGTACAATCTGTCTAGTTTCAAACATAGCAGAAATGAATTCATGAGCAACAGCATATGAAGGACAGACAACAGTCACATCAGCAGAGGTTCTCCTCCAGTAATGTTAGGGCCAATACCTTGATATTCAACCAGGCCCACAAGCACCACCCAGAAAACCTGAGATTATATCGCTCTTGTCTCCAGTATAAAAGACCCGACTTCCCATGTGCAGGCAGCTCCTCCTAATACAACCAAGTATTCAAGCCTCCTATGAATGGGGATGCCTTGGCTTTTCTTGTCCTCCTTGCTGCTGTCCAGAATCAAGAACTTCATATTACCTTCCACAGTTTTCTGGAAGGTAACTCCTTCTCCCATCATGAGAGGCCTTAACAAATCTTGACAATTCTGCATCTAGACAATAGTTCTAAACACTGTGAAAGACAAATAAACTTGTTAAGGAATCGCTCTTTCCTGAGTCATCTTCCTTTTTTCACCTGGAAACACCCAAGGGCAGTCTGAGAACCACTAACAGCGCAGCTCCAGAATCCAGTCTCTCCTATAAAAGCCTCGCTTACGCTCAGGTTAATACAGCAGCCTTTAATTTAAAGTCCCCGCTTCTTCACCCTCTGGTCCACGCCAAAACTGCAGTTATTACTCATCAAACCCATACATCACACACCTGTTCAGCTTCTTTCCTCAAACAACCATGAATTACTTTGATTTTCCCCTTGACTTCAAAATAGCTTAACAAAAATATTTTTTAAATTTGTTTTTTAAAAAAAAAAAAAAAGCATTAAATACCATTATTCTTCCTGTTTCTTTTAGGGTGCTCACGCTTCCCTCTCCAAAAGGCACACTGAACTCATGTGTTTTTTACTCACAAATAACGTAACTACCTCTTGTGGCACCTCCTCTCACCCACCTGCTACTTTGGAGAACAAATAAAGAGCCACAAACCAACATACAAAATCTGATCTACAGGTCTTGCAACTACAGCTCTATTAAGAGGACAATCCACTTACCTTCCAATGCTTGTTTCTTCCCTGTCTCACTAACCACAACATTTGGTGTTAGCAACATAAAACTTTCATATAGTAGCCGCCTCAAAACACACACCAGCTTTTCTTATTCATGCAAGCTGCCATGGAAGACTTTACATGCTTTACAGCCAAGCTTGAGCAGACACATAACAAGCCTCAGAAAGACAGTTCTCTTGCTTTTCAATAATCAATGAATCCTTACTAAATTAACAAAAAGCTTCTCTACAAACAACTTGACAATATAGCTCATTAGCACATCCATTCTTGTTTTGCAAAAGCTATGGAACCACTGATGCTGCAGTAGCAGCAAGGTTTGGCAAGTTTTATGATGAAGAGAAGGCAGCATATAACCAAGAGGTAGACACAAGACAAACACTCACGCTGACTTTGGCGTAGATGTGTCTATAATACAGCTCCTTGTATAGGATCAGGAAAACAGCATCTGAAAAATATGACAGAAGTGGATGTTAGCAAAGCATAAGGCCTAGGCAACTGGATATCTCGTTATATATATTGGTATTCTTGTTGCCACAATAAGAAAAGGAGGCATGAAAGGACACTCCTTTCAGTTCTGACTTCTTGCCAGGCATCTTTTTAAGAAGTTGCCACAGTAACAAAGATGCCCGGCTCAGGAAGCAGCAACATTGTACGCTTGCTCTCTCATTTATCAAATGCATTTATGTTTCTCCTTCCTTCAAAAAGTACAAAGAAAGGAAAAGAAATATTTACCGTTTCCAACCTGTGGGGCAATGGCCTCTGCCTCTGGCCACGGGGTATTCTTAAAAAACCTTTCGGTCAGCTTTGTCCAGCTGCAAGACAGACACATGTGGTATTAGAAATCATTTCTCAGTGTCAGTGAGATGGAGATCACAACATGGAGGACTTGATGAAAGTAAAAGAACACCATCCCCTTTTAGTAAGGCCAGCGTTGAAGCAAAGAACGAGAACGACAAACTAAGCAGCTAAAGCCTTTAGTTTATCCCTGAAGCACAGAACTGTTACATACGTTACTCCCACGTACCCTTTATGGTAAGGTAACACAGACACAAGCAGGAGGGGCAGTAGGTGTAGAAAACAGATATAACAATGCCACTCCAAGGCTTCCTGAAAACTGGCTAATTAGTGCTACTGGGGTCACTTTCTGCAGCCTGCCCCTTAGGAAGAGGACTGATATTCTCTTTTAGACAGGTCACTACTCACCTAGATTTACGTTAGAGTAATGGCCTAGAAGCACCTACTCTTTCTCAGGATCAAATCAAAGCTCAGGCTGTATTTTGGTTGGGTCAAAACAACTTGTCAGCACTCCCTTGAAGAGCAAATTAACTCTTGTCACAATTTAAAGAGTAACCCTCCTGTGCGAAGGATGGCTTCGCACCTGTTCTCATAGATATCCTGGATCTCATACACCTTCTGGTCAATGACGTCGCTGGAAACGCGGCTGGCCTGGAGCTCGTACACCTTCTGGTCGATGAGATCCGACACAGTTTTGTGAAAATACTGAATGAAGTTCTTGATCACTTCGGGGATCACCTGGTAGGTCTGCTGCTCGTACTGGCGCTCGTAGGCCAAGTCCTGCTTCGGATCTCCTTATCCTGGATCTCATACACCTTCTGGTCAATGACGTCGCTGGAAACGCGGCTGGCCTGGAGCTCGTACACCTTCTGGTCGATGAGATCCGACACAGTTTTGTGAAAATACTGAATGAAGTTCTTGATCACTTCGGGGATCACCTGGTAGGTCTGCTGCTCGTACTGGCGCTCGTAGGCCAAGTCCTGCTTCGGATCTCCTGAAGGGAGAAAAGAGCAGTGAGGTGGCAGCTGCCCGGCCCGGCCCA